ACGTCTCGCGGAGCGATACCGGTTCAATTAGGATAATTAATCGCTAATTATTATTAGTTAATTATTAATTAAGTAATTAATCACTAATCAAATCGAGCCGTTGGACAATGTCGCTGTTTGATTTTGCGAGACCATTCGGTCTCACTCTTCCATTCCGCGAAACCGCGCAGTCTCGCGCCTCTACCGCGCGTACCGCCCGCAGCATCATTCCCACGTCACTTTCGCGCAATGGTTGAGCGAGACCGACGTTATATTTCTGTAAAAAATTTTGCATCCCGAATATTCCTGGGAAAAAAAATGAATGAACATTATATTTTCAAATTTAATTCTGGGCAATGGCTAGGCCTGGTAATGGGCCCATGTCCATCACTCAGCCTGACTAAGTCTTGGGACCTTATTTAGATGGAATAAGTTCATCTGAGGTCCCTTGACTTGTCAACGAAAACCAGATACAACGGGTCCCTCAACTATCGAAACCGGTGCTGATGAGGTCCCTCGGTGGTTTAGATGGTGGTTTTGGATGATGTGGCGCTTACGTGGCTAATTTTGAGGATCACTCTTCTAAAAACTAAATAAACTACTGCCTCCTATTTTGCCACAATGTAAAATACACAAACTCTAAGTTATTCAAATGTAACTTGTATTCAAATTTAATATTGGACATATTTTTATTTTTATTATATACATTTCTAATTTCTCTATTTTCCCCCATTTTAGGGTTTTGGTTGATTTATAATTTGAGAAAATTTGTTGTATTCACCCAAAAGCATTTGAGTGACTAATTTAAGAATCAAATGTGATTTCCCCAAATTAAATATTATTCAATATTTATATTGCCCTAGATCCATGTATGTTTATATTTTACCGTATTTAATAATTGGTATAATATTTATTTTCACTCAAAAATTTATTTATCCATTATGTTCTATTTTAGTTAACACAATGCACAATAAAAGAACCAATAACATCAGCATAATGCAATTTATTTAAAAGTTTTTGAAAGTACTTAATTTCGGGTTTCATTTTATTTAGTCGAATTTTCAGGGTGTTACATGATGTCATTAAGAAAACTAAAAAAGTAACTAAGGGAGTACTACTCGTGTATACCATCCACTAGTCCCCTAACAATATAATATGTTCGGGTCATAATAGTGTAGACAACATACCTATCAACAGCGAGCGGGAAAAAAAAGAAAATAAGCGAGCACAATAATCTCGTTTGCTCACCTCACCTGCGCCCCTACTTTTATACGTGGCGGGCTATTTCAACTATGGGCCTAATCATGTAGGTGGCCCAGTAAAAATAAATAAATAAAATAAAACTAGATGGGTGGCCCCCGCAATTGCGCGGCTAGCACCTAAACAAAATCATATATTTTTCAGTATGATTTTACTTAAAATTTATTAAATAGTGTCGGTGATATGGGCCCGGGGGTGTGCGAAGTACGGGGGAGTTACCTTCCCATCCAGCCACGTGGCCCTACAGCCTAGCCCTTCCCCCACACCTTGGAAGACGCAAAGGCAGCCAGGGGGCCTCGGGGTGCCACGTCACGCCCCTTGGGCCCTCGCGCTGCCTCGCCCCGAGGCCCTCGCCCAGCTACCATGTGGCGAGGGGAGCGCGCGGGGAGGAGACTCAGGCTGAACCGCCATCAATGCGCGGCGCCCCAACCGTCCCTCACCGCATTTAATGCGGTAAGGGCGGACGTGCGGTGCGGCCCGATTGACCCACGTCAATCAGGCGTGACCAGACTGTGACCGGCCTGTCGCTGGTCACGTCCGGTCGGACGGGCAGCCGTGCCCCCACGTTCGCCCCTGTACCCGGCGGAGTGGAGGCAGGTATGCCCCGTCCCATCAAAGCATCATCCAGAACTCCCTCCACGTGAGAAGGACCGCCACAAGTCTTCGTTCATTTAAGAGGGAATGACAGGGCTGTCCCCCGTGTCAGGCGGGAGGTGGCGCTGGGTCCCACTCGAGGACGGACGGCCGCTTAGCTTCCGGGCGAAGGCACAGACCGTGGTCCGGTCTGAGTAGAGTGGGTCCCCCTCCCGTGATAGAGTAGGTAGAAGCGGTGCATGTGGTATCCTCTTGAACTATAAAAGGAGGACCTTACCCACCGAGAAAGGGGGATGACTCCCAGTAGGCCTAAACCCTAGGAGAAGAAGAGCGAGACTGCTCTCCGGAGTTTAGGAACCTTTGTAACACTCAACCATAAATCCCATCCATAGGAGTAGGGTATTACGCTCCATAGCGGCCCGAACCTGTATAATCTTGACACTCGTGCACGATCTCGAAGCACTCAGGGCGGATAAACGATCTCGTCAAGCGCACCTTTTCCCCCGGCCGAACTCACAAAAGGGGGATCTCACGATCACCCGCTAGAGAGGATCATTCCTCGACAAATAGCTATTCTCGTATCATCTCCGTATTTCTAATTATATAGTTCTTAAAAGTCACACCAGCTACTACCCCTTACTTCTGTCATATCCTTCTTTATTTGCTTGCTCGGTCTACCACTATTTCTATTCATTTTCCTTGAAACCTTTGAAAATTAGATCTTATAGTTTTTTGAGTTTATTGTCTCGTTGGGTTTCGTTTTTATAATTCTGGAAGTCCTGTCAAACGGTGCCATTATACTCCTCTAAGGCCCGTACATTGTATTTTCACTTTATTATCATTGGGATTTTACAAATCGAACATAATTATCGTTCGAGTTCATTTTTTACTTTCTACAAGTCCCGCTAAACTGCCAGCGGCTTTCCCATTGTACTCCTTTATGGCTCGCCCGATGTCTCCCTTCTTTATTGTCATTGAGATTTTAAAATTGAAGATGATTATCATTTGGTTTTTTTACTTGTTAGAAGTTTCGAACCTTTAAAATTGGACCTGTAGTTTTAGAGTTTATTATCTTGTTGGGTTTTATTTTTTATATTTTTTAGAAGTCACGTCAAACGATGATACTAATATACTATACTCCTCTACGACCCATCCGCCGCATACTCTTTATTGTCATTGGGATTTTAAAAATCGAACATAACTATCGTTGGAATTCATTTTTTATTTTATAGAAGTCCTGCCAACAGTCGGCGGCTCTGCAACTATACTCCTATACACCCCATCCGCCGCTTCTCCTTTTTATTATCATTGAGATTTTAAAAATAGAATATGATTATAAATGGGATTTATTTTTTTTACTTTTTAGAAGTCCCGGCAACCGCCTTGCCCGTTTGCTTCATGGCATGCCTGTCGTCCCTCCTTTTAATCATCATTAGCATTCTATTCGGTGTTTTACTAGCAATTTTTATATGTCGTATCAACCGCCACTACTCTACTCTTTTATAGGCTTGTTACTTAGGGGCTGTTTGGTTGCTGCCCTCGCCTGGAGACCGTTGCTCAGGCAGGTCGATCCGACCGCAGGCGACCGAAATCGGACGCCTGAGATTGACGCCTGAGCCAGGCGCGAATCTGAGGGCAGCAAGCAAACACGCCCTTAATTTACCTCATCATGTGTTTTAGATGGTCTTTTTTTTTCAATAGCCTTTTTTTTATCACCAACTTTAGTTATTTATTAATTGTATTCCTAATTGAATTTTTTTTCTTTTTGTAATTTCAGAATTTTTTTTCAAATTTTAATTAATACCGTATAGTGTTCTTTTAATATTTTTATTTTTTATTTTTGAATTTTAGTTGTTTCAAAATTGTATTCCTACCTGAACTCTCTTTTAATTTTTCTAATTTTGGATATTGTTTTATTTTTTATCTGAATTTTAATTAATCTTGTATTGGGTTCTTATATGGATTCTTCTTTCAATATTGCTTATTTTTAATTTCGAATTTCAGTTAATTTTAAATTATATTCCTACTTGAACTCTTCTTTTCTTTTTGCTAATTTCGGATTTCATTTTCATTTGTATTCCGAATATTAACTAATCTCGTATTGTGTTCTTATATAAACTCTTCTCTTAATATTCCTTATTTTTAATTCCGAATTTCAATTATTTTTAAATTATATTCCTACCTAGGCTCTCCTTTTATTTTCTAATTTTAGATTTTATTTTATTTTTATTTCGAATTTTGATTAATCTCGTATTGGGTTCTTATATGGACACTTATTTCAATATTGCTTATTTTTAATTATGAATTTCAGCTATTTGTGAATTGTATTTCTACTTGGACTCTTCTTTTCTTTTTCTCTGATTAATGTGGGAATTTCTTGCCCCCACAGCGAACGTGGTGCCTCTTTTCAAAACTATTTTAATAATATAATAGATAGATGAATAGATACACCATCTTTAAAAACAATTGTGAGTATGACTTTTTATTATAATATATATGGAAATATCAATAAATATATGATTTTATCAAAATATTTTTAAGACCAATTTATACAAATATTTTAGATGTAATTATAGTCAAAGTTTTAAAGTTTGACAATCAAAATGATAAGTATTATCAATTTGGATTGTTCAAAAATGATAAGTATTATCAATCTGTAGAGAGTGACTATTTTATTTATGCATCCAACCAAAGCATACGTACATGATCAGTCTGATCCGTAATTTTTTTCTGGTTTGCCTTTGCCTTTGATTTTTCTTTCTGTTTCTCTGTGCTACATATAAGGGTAAAATTAACATATTAATATTGATCTTGCATATAAGGATAGCATGCCAAAGTCCATATGACGCTTTAGGTCGATCCAGGAACCAATAGAAAGCTAGTACGGAGTATATAACAAATTTTATATGGAGTTCTTTGGAAACTAGCTCACGTCAGGGGTAAATTCATCCCGAAGCAAAAGTTCAAGGACCATAGTAGACCCTCTTTTGTTTAGGCTTATAAGCTTAGCTTATGATCTTTTTTGTTTGGCTTTTCTAAAGTCATGAGCTATACAGTGTTAATCCATAATCCAGGAGCTAGGTTGGAGAAACGTTTTGGCTTATTTGAGACGGAGACATGACTCCAGCATTAAACTTAAAACTTTAAATTCACCGGCTTATATAATATATATAAAAAAAAGATAACTTTAAAACCTAAGTCAATAAGTCTAAGCTTTAACAAAGAGGACCTAACACTATTCACCAGAAATATTCCCTAGTGGGCGAGAGAATGGAGGTAAAATTAAGCCCATAAAGCACAAATTGTGTACAATCCATCAATGTTTGGATTAGAGGCTAGAGCACAATGATGGATGGACATCCCATCCAGGTTTCAAAGATTAAGCCTCCTTGTGAACAGTGCCTCCAACAATCTCGGCCCTGGATGCAATTTGCAAATCTGAATGCAAGTACTGGTCTAGTTTATTACCCAGATAAGCATCTTAACACAAGCACTACATTGTATCAAGCTTTTTATACTGATTTACTTCCTCTCCTTCACCCAAAGAAGCTATTATAGGCTGGTACACATTATTTTGGAGAAAACAACACCCTGACATGAAATTGCTTCAGGACTGAATCATCGGGAGAATTAACAGCTCCAAGCTCACCATTGTTAAAAGTCCAGCAAAACAGGGATCCCTCAAACTCCAAGTGAACAACCAGTTTTCCCTTGGACTTCATTGCCACAATGTGCTGGAAAGACTTGTCCTTGCAGAATTTCCCATTGAACAGCAAAATCTCACGGTCAAAGCCACTACAAAATGCAGTGAATCTCACATGACGAGGATCGTTACTGTCAATCTCTGTGGATACTTGTATGACAGCTTCAATACTCTGTGAAAGATACATATAGTGTATGTCCAGATAGCAATGGTCGCTTAATATCCGCCCCCTTATCTCCTTATTAAACACGCCACGGGCAAAAATCTCGACATACGCGGATACTAATTGCTTGTCATTAGATACTCCACCTTCCATTTTCACCCAAAGATCAACCTCAAACAATGCATATTCTACTACATACATTCCTCGACAAGGGCTGCAAAGAGGTAATGTGAAGGAATCCTACAATTTAAAAGGACTTGTTAGAATCCAAAGCTAGAGCTTAAGCAATTTTAAGTGTGTTAATTAGAACATACAAATACATATTTTAAAAGTATTCTAATAGAATAAACTCAACTGGACATGCATACTAATAAATAAATAGAATGGCATGCAAATTTTGCACAAACTCGATGGTATATACACAGTTAAATATTTTTGCGGACACCATCAGCGTGTTAGTACAATCAGAAAATGAAATACAAAAATGCACATCATATATAATGAGATATCGTAACAATGAGATATTGAGCACTACTGATATAGACCTCTTAGTGTTAGAGGTATATATATACCTCTTAATTAACACACTAGAAAATCTTTACACCAAAATACTTCCAAAAGACTTAACAATAGACCCATTGTAACCAAAATATAAGGGATGACAGGAGAATGTACTACAGTTGCAGCGAACAGTGATGCACTTATATCAAAATGGAGCACTGAAAGAAACAAAAATATATTTTGAAACAGTGCTAACGATAAACCATACAAAAGATGCCTTTAAGAACCATAAAACCAATTGTCAACAATATGTATCTGCTAACACACTACATTCAGCCTATCCAAGAAAAAAAAATCTTATTAGCATTCATATATATAATATATATAGGCATATTAGGGTATCTTTTTCAGCCAAGATATATAACTTAACTTCCAAAAATAGACTGTATTTACCTGTTCAACTATGACAGGATCATCTCTGGTACGGTTGAAGACATAATTCCTCAAAGGGTCCAAGTAATCACGTACTGCAAAGATTCCGTAAACACTAATAGGATAGGACATGGAGCTGGACAACCTCAAAGAGAAGATCTGGAGCATCTCCTTGGGTTCAAGCCACCCAATAGTAGATGCAGCTACAAACATTTAAAAGAAAAGAAAAGTCGTTACTTTACAAATACATTTTGGTAATTTGGTAGCACACAATATTAATAACTATTGAATCCTTTATAATAGGAATCGACAAGCACTTACTCTCAGAAGTATCATTGGTCTTGTATTCACGGTGATAGCACAAACTCTTGGTGGTACAGAAATCTGTTGTCTCCGGGAGCGGTTTCAAAGGAAATACTGGACAAGAAGCACTCGTCTCATCCCCTCCCTGCTTTTGGAACTCCTCGCACGCCACCATGAATTCTCTATTCCTCTTGTCGTATGTTTCTAGCCACTTGCGAATTATTTCCTTTGCCTGCTCCTTCGTGAAGTTCTGCCCTGAGAAATTAAAATAGCGATAGTATCTGTTCGTCTTTTAATCTGGAATCGAAGCTCTCTACTGGATTATTAGTAGTGTTACCTGGGCAAGTTGTCTCCTCGTCTGCGTAACCATCATCATCACTATCCTCGTCGATGTCACCTATCAACATATTGTGTGAGTTGGCTGAGGCAAAGACGTCATCTGAATCTGAATTTTTCAGATAATAGAAATGGTTTACATCTCTGGCCTCTACGGAGAGGCACACAACCAATGTGGTGTTTTAGAATTGAAAAACAAAAAAGTGTGATGGGACAAAAGTCTGAATTTGCAGTCTGAATTAGTGCCTTGGGTGACGAATGACGATCGATATCGTATAAGGAAATGCATACATGAAAGCAAGAGGAGGATTGAGGATGCACCTTTGCCCATGGGTGGTGCCGGGTGGTCGGCGTCCTCGTCGCGCGGATCGTGGCAGCCTAGGTCCGTCGTTGGGGATTCAGACAAGGGGGGATCGTCCGTGCAAGGGATGGGCTGGGAATCCCGAGAGCCACAACTAGGAGGATCCTTCTTCTCCGGCGACGAAGCCATCACCACGGTTGGGCTGGTGGCGCTGCTGCTCTCAGCAACCCTGTCCCTGTGCGATATGGAGACGATGATGGGCTTCTTTGGCACACAGCTCGCAACTCATCTTGAAAGAAAAATGGGAGGCGCAACCACAGATCCGTCATCCAAATCCATGGATTTACCTTCTCGATGCGGTGGGATGCAGGGGACGCCGATGCGGCAACTTCGTTCCACTGGCCCGGAGAAGTCGCGGCGCCGGTCAGGGAACTGCTGGCGGAGGGCGGCGGCCTGGAACCCTAAATCACCTCCACCTCGCTGGGGAGTACTAGGCATGTAGGCAATGGGCAGGCCTGGTAATGGGCCCCGGCCCAACGCTCAGTCCCACATCCAGCCCATCGACTAGGTCTATTGCCCAACTCCCAAGCTAAATGCAACCAGGTCTATTCCTACTCCTCCTGGCTTTTTTTTTTTTTTACGGAGGGGGTACTTGCCTAGCCCATCATTCCATCTAGGGACCTCATTTTGTTTTGAGAGATGCGAAATGTGTTTGTTTTTATTTTATGGTTAATAGATCCTATTCAAAATCGACCCTTATGCTGTGTTTAGTTCCACACCAAAATTAGAAATTTGAAGGAATTGGAACAATGTAATGAAAAAAATGAAAGTTTGTGTGTGTAGGGAAGTTCGATGTGACGGAAAAATTGGAAGTTTGAAGAAAAAAGTTTAAATCTAAACAAGGCCTTAGATGAAAAAACATATGGTCATTCCCAACCCTCCGTATCATCCAATGTCGATAGCATTAAAATACATTATCACATAAGTAAAAAAAAATCTTATGTGGTAAAAGAATTAACGAGAAGAGAGGTAAAAAAAAATGAAGAAATCATTTCTCATGCAAGAAACTATTTCTACACAAGAACCTTGTGAATAAAAGGAGAGAGATGAATGGATAAGAATTTAATTTGAAGACACCATTCATTGTATACATGGTTTCTATGCATAGTGAACATGATAAGTATGAAAATTACTTAATAATTTCTTGATAATTTTTGGATTGAGGATGGCCTAAAGGGCTCCTTTGGAAGGAAGGGGGAGAAAATCCCTAGGAAAAATTCCTGCAAAAGAATTTTTTGAGGTGACATACCCCGTCCTTTCTTTCTCAGGTTGTGTTTAGTTCCTGAAAAAAGTTGAAAGTTTGAGGAAAGTTGGTAGTTTGAAAAAAAGTTGAGAGTTTATGTGTGTAGGAAAGTTTTGGATGTGACGTGATGTGATGGAAAGTTGGAAGTTTGGGGTAGTCGAGGGTAAACTAAACACGACCTTAGCTCTGAAGTTGGAAGAAAATTGCCAAGGACTGAAGTCCTACCCTCATCGGAAGGACTTTATTCCTCTACACGACACCTGTCCCGCACGAATCTCAAAATAGCCTCTCTCTCCCTCGTCTCTCCAATTCCCATTTATCTTCGTATCCTCGGCGAGGCGTCAAGGTCAAGCCCGAGCACCGTGCGGCGAGCGCCGCGCGCCCGCGCCCTGCGGCGTCAAGCCGCATCAAGCTCATGACAGCCGGAAATTGGAGTCAAATTCGCGCTCCCGACCTGCCGCGAGGAAAATCTTTGGGTTGGAAGAAGCTGCGTTATCGATTAGATCGAATCCATCTCCATGAATCGCAAACAGTTTGCCTCAGTGAAATTGTTCAGTCATTAGAATTTTCTTTCCTTCGCTTTTAGTCTGTATGGTGCACTGCACTGCTCTGGTGGTTGAAGTTGATTGAGCTTTCCAGGATTTCTGTTTGCCGATGAATCTTCCAGCTTCCTGCTTCCAGGATTACAAAAATGACTGTTCTATTCTTGATGAGTGCCTCGTGTGTATGGCTGGACGAAAAACTCGTGGCTCGTTAGCTCGCTCGGCTCGTGGCCAACTCGGTTCGATATCTTTTTGAAACGAGCCGAGCTAACGAGCCAGCTTGAGCCGGCTCGCGAGACGCTCACGAGCTTAAACAAGCTGGAAGCATAGGCAGACAAGTTTGCAGGCCAAGGCCCATATGAAGGAAACACGGTAGGCCCAAAGAAGAAAACAGTCAAAAGGGAAAGACCAGAACCCTATCTGGTCAGTGTAGCTCTCATCTTCCTCTTTCCCCTCATCCCAAATTCCCAAATTCCCAATCCAGATCGATCTTCCTTCTGCCGCGCGCCGCCCTGCCTTGTTGCCGTGCCTCGCGTCCTCGCGTCACGCTCCCTCCATCCGGCACACCTCCTTGAGGTCTGGCGGCGACGGCGGCTGCGCCGACACCTCAAGCGCATCGACCACCTGCACACGTCTCTCCTGTTCTTGGCTTGGTCGAGTGGTGTCATGTAGGGGTGAAAACGGTACGGAAACGGACGGAAACCATCTTTATCATTTTCGTTTTCATATTTTTTTGGAATCGAAATCAGAATCGGAAACCCCGGATACGAAAACGGAATCGAATATTATCGAAATCGGAAACGGAGCGAAAACGAACCGGCACGAATACGGTAACGAAAATTTATCGGAATAAAAAGCCCCTCAAACTAATAAATCCAATTGAATAAATTATCTATGTTTAAAAGAGTAATGTTATTGATAAATCCCAATGTAGCACAAAAAAATATTCTTATGTAATTTTAGATTTGCATAACAAATATTTTTTTAAAAAAATAACAGCCAAACACCATGGTATTCACTATTTAGTGCTTAAAAAAGAATCAAGGGTATTTCAGTCACAAAATTTCTGGTAATTCCGAGGAAATTTCCGGAAATTCCGAGAAAATTTCCGGAAAGTTTCCGACCGATTCCGAGTTCCGACGGAAACTGCCCTTATCATTTCCGATTCCGTTTCTGAGAAAATATTTCCGAATTCGTTTCCGTTTCCGAAAAATTCCGACCGGCATATTCCGTTTTCAAAAATAGGTCCGGAATCCGGAAAGTTTCCGTACCGTTTTCACCCCTAGTGTCATGGCCGGGCAGGAGGAGTTGATAGAGATGGAGCGCTGCAACGAGCCGCCAATCCTCGCCGTTGCTGCTTGCTAGGAGGTTGCCGGCACAGGGCGATGGATTCAGGTGGGTGCTCGATCTTGTATATTGCCACCAGCAAACGAGTTTATGATTTGTTAAAGGTGGAGCTACCATGAATAATGATGCATTTGTTGACTTGAGCTAGCACGTGATTTCTTGGTTTGATACGAAGATACAATTGCATTCTTGGACATTTTGGTTGTATAATCTGTAGTTGCATCGCAAGTTTCTTTTGTCCAGTGTGTTGGCTCGCGCTGAGAAGCGAGCCGAGCCGAGCCAGCTGTTATCCTAACGAGTTAGAGCGAGCCGAGCCAGCTCGATATCCACCCCCTACTCGTGTGCAAGTTTGGATGCTACTCCCTCCGTCCCAAAATATAAGCATTTTTAGACTTCGACACGGTCTTTGAGATACTATTGTGACTAATGACATCTATAAAAGTATGATGTTTTAAATAAAAAGAGTTGCGTGTTATTGATAGTTTGTTTAATGATAAATCTAGTAACATTTATATGATTAGTGTTTTTTATTTTAATAGTCTTGGCACTATGCTAAAAATTATTATATTTTGGGACGGAGGGAATACTTAGTTCCTGGAACACATTGCGGATGCCGCTTGATTCCGGTGACAGTGGCAGCCGGCCGTGAGCTCCATGGCTGCTGGTCGGACGCGAGCTCACCGAGAAGAGGAACCGGATGGGGACTATGTTTGGAGGTGGGTGTTGGGAACCATCTCCTATCCACGGAAAACGGAGCGGTCCATTAACACGTGATTAATTAAGTACTAGCAATTTTTTTTAAAAAAAGATTAATATGATTTTTTAAACAACTTTTGTATAGAAACTTATTTCAAAAAACGAACCGTTTATAGTAGTTTGAAAAGCGTACACGAGGAAAACGAGAGGGAAGTGTTGGGAACTTGCTCTTGCAAACACACCCTTGGAGAGACAAGGGAGTTAGCCTACTCAAGGATTCGTGCAATGGTGCAAGACAAGTGTCAAGTAGAGGGACAAGTCCTTCGGACGAGGTGTAAGACTTCGATCCCGTGTAATTTTCTTCCTACGAAGTAGGGATGGTAATGGGGACCGTACCCCGAAACCCGTTGGGGAAAAACTCTATTAGGGGCTGTAAGTGGGTGCATGTTATCCCCCATGGGGCTGATAACGGCTAAATTTCCTCCCCATCGGGTGGGCCGGGTTCGGGGGTGTTCACAAGCTCTTCCCCATGGGGCCCCGAGCATAGCATGTGTACAGCCCACAGGCAACAAAAGCCCAGCTAGCCCAACATCGAATGTCCATATATGACACAGTGAGAACACTTAACATGCCATGGGCTGATGGGTTTTGTCTCTAGCTAGAGCTAGTCCAGCTCGTATATGTCTGCTCACACAGGACGGTGGAGTGGTCGAGTGGATAAGGATTCCACATCGACGACGACGACTCAGATCCAATCGAAGCAGCGAGACGACGACGCCTCTACGCTGCGCTGCGCAGATCAGCCATGCTCCGCCGACCGCCGGTGATCAGGTGATGCCTCTCGAATCAACCACGCTGGGCAACGCCGCGTGGATCAACCAGCTCTGTGGTGCTTCGCCGTCATCACATCCACGCTGCAGCTCCTGCCGTTGCCGCCTCCGCGCCGCGCGACAGCGCTTGGTTTCGTCGCCATCTCCCCGCCGATGCTTTGCTCCTCCGCATGCGCTACCGCCGCCTCTCCGCATCACGCCGCCTCTGCTCGACTACTCCTCGCACCACACTGACGCTACCTCTCAGCATGGCAGACGCTTCTCCTTCTCACCGTCGGGGGTGAGGAACCCAGCGGGTGTCCAGTACCCGCACGGGGACGGGGACGGGAGAAAACCACGCCCCGTGTGCGGGGATAGGGACAGGGAACGGGGGAGTTTTTCCGCTAGGGGGCGGGGACGGTCAGCTTCCCTACTACGAAGTTTACCCCGTCCTTACTTTGGAAACATGGGGAGGGGGAGTTTCGTAGGGAGCCAGAAAGATAAGTAGAGAACTCTGAAAAATTAACAAAAACATTAAAAACAACAGAAAAAACACAGAAGTATCTATTTAAACAAGATAGAATGGAAAAGGCTTACGGAAATTCCATGCAAATTATATAAAACGTAAAAAAGCATAAAAGAGTAAATTCAGGGGAAAAAAGGAAAATACGGAAACGAGGGATTATTTGCAAGATCACAAAAAATAAAAAATAATATACACAAGCATACTAAAATCGTGATAGTACATTAATTTAAGACAAGTAGGTAAATTTAACTTTAAGAGTAAATTTCATAAAACTGCATATATTTTGCACATTCTATCACAAAACTACATATTTAAGAACTTATTTCACAAAACTACAGATTTAAGAACTTGTTTCACAAAACTACAGATTTAATATCTTCATTTATCACAAAACTACAAGTTCAGTGTCTTCATTATCACAAAACTACATGTTTTAGCATTGTTAAAACTTGTAGTTTTGTGATAATGAAGACACTAAACATGTAGTTTTATAATAAAAGAAGACACTAAATGTGTAGTTATGGGACAAACGAATACACTAAATCTATAGTTTTATGAAACAAGTTCTTAAATATGTAGTTTTGTGATAGATTATACAAAGTACCTATAGTTTTGTGATAAAAATAGACACTAAATATGTAGTTTTGTGAAACAAGCTCTTAAATCTGTAGTTTTGTGATAAATTGTGCAAAATACCTGTAGTTTTGTGAAATTTACTCTTTAATAAAAGTCAAATTGTGCTATCTTTGACAACATTTAACCAAGTTTAAGATGTCATAACACCAACATGAAAGCCTCGAAAGCAAAATTCAAGTATCTATGGCATCCATGATATCCACTATTGACTGTCATTATTGATCAGTTTCGACCGTCAATATTACTAAAATAGAGGAGAACTAGTGATGCTTGCAATGCATATATCTGTTAGAATAATAATATTCCACTAGTAATAGGTATACTAACCTTTTGCAGAGAATGACAATAAAGTGAAGGAGAATCGACATCAACTTAGACGATAAATCAATCGGACGATGTCGAGAACTAGACTTATGAATGAATAGGCCAAGAACTTAGAATTGACACGATGAATTGGGCCAAAATTCACGAGTCTACAAAGTGAAGCAATAGAGGAGGCCGCCAGCCGAAGATGGGCCGGGAAGGCCCAGCCCATGGTTCGGCCGAACCCATCCTGGCACCGTTGGATGCAGGGTTCAGCGTGGACGTCCAGGATTGCATCCAAATGACGGTTGGAGGGTATTCCCTCGGGAGGGTATTCCTCCGTATTTAGCCCCGGTTGTATGGCCATGACGGGCTGTCGTAAGGAACTCGACAGTCAGAGATAGCTTCTCGAAGTACCAGGAGGGCATCGGATAAAGGGTATTAGCTAGTATATCGGTTAACTAGAATGTATGTATACTATGTATATTAGAAGTATAAGAATAGATTTTCTTTCTCTTTTCTTTCCACTTAGCTTAGATGATATATTATGAGAATGAGTAGTTAATGCTTGTGTGTCACTCTACCCTTGGATTATCTTAACCCCTGCTTAGAATATGATTATCACAAGTAATATATAAATTATTACTCAAGTTCTCTCTACATGATCTTCCCACGGGATAAAATAAATACAATACCCTTGGAATACTCTCGGGTGAAATGCTACAATGGTATATCCATGCGCTTGCGGATGAACTCTGTAACCATAATATACCAGAAGTATTTCTGCGCCATTAATTGCTGGGAATTATATTTCTAGTAATGTCGTTAAGAAATACCAACAAGTATTTCTCTCGCTGTTGTCGGGGAAGATTCATAATAGAGACTACTTGAACTAATATTTTATATTTGCCTCTGTATAATCATTTTCTTTTGTAAGCTAACCTTGGTTGTTTTCACTTTTGTTGTGAAAATAGGGTAGTGCATGACTGGTTTCAACTTGCCGGAAAACTTCAAAGAAAATCCAGAAGCTTTCTTCCGGAGCGTTAGGCCATGAGTTGCTGCTCCGCAGAAAACTCTACCGACAGAGAAACCAGCCGTACCAGTGCCACCGACCTTCAAGACTATGGCTAACAAGACTCTCTGCGAGTTCGCTGCTCCCTCTGCTGACAATGTGGCCATTGGGCCGTAGGTCAACATAGGGGACGTGGATTTCAACTTGAAGTTCAGCCTCATCACAATGGCGCAGGCTAGCCCGTTCTGTGGCAAGCCTAATGAGGATGCCAATGCTCATCTACAACAGTTCCTGGAGATCTGTAGCACGTACACTATCAAAGGCGTTAGTCCCGACGCCGTCAGGCTGCGACTGTTTCCATTCTCCCTTCTCGGGAGAGCGAAGCAGTGGTTCTATGCCAACTGTGCTGCTGTCAATACCTGGGACAAATACTCTACGACATTCCTCTCGAAATTCTTCCCGATGGGCAAAACCAATGCCCTTTGTGGAAGGATTTCAAGTTTCCAGCAGACAAGGGATGAGTCTATTCCGGAAGCATGGGAACGACTGCAGGAGTACGTAGCCGCCTGTCCTCATCATGGGATGGACGACTGGTTGATCCTGCAGAACTTTTATAATGGACTCACCCCGATGTCCCGCGATCACCTGGACGCGGCAGCTGGAGGAGCGTTCTTCTCTAAAACGGTTCAAGGAGCCGTTGATCTAATAGAGAAATAGGTCTCCAATATGGGTTGGAGCGAGGAACGACTCCAGACCCGTCAGCGAGGCATGCATACCGTCAAGGAGATGGAGTTACTTGCTACCAAGCTGGACCTCCTCATGAAGTGATTGGACGACCACGAGAAACGGCCACAAGGCACCGTCAAGGCCTTGGACTCTCACGTCACATGTGAAGTCTGCGACAACACGGGTCATTCTGGGAATGACTGCCCGGAAACCCGTGAGGAGGCGATGTACATGGGAAACAACAACAACAACGGGCATCGTCCACAAGGAGGTCAGGGGTGGAACCAACCACGCCCATATTATCAAGGAGGTAACAACAATGGTAATTTTTCTAACCAGCCCTCCTTGAAGGATCTCGTTTTTGCACAAGCTAAAACCACCGATGCGATAAGCAAAAAGCTTGCGGCCAATGACAATGTCCTAGAAAACATAAATGTCAAGTTAGATGGCTTTGCTTCTGCTTTTCAAAATTAGCTGAGCTTTAATAAAATGATTGAAACCCAGCTAGCTCAATTGGCATCCTTAGTCCATGCAAATGAAACTGGGAGGATCCTGGGGCAACCTGACTCCTCCACTGAAAATGTCAAGGCGATCACGACGAGGGGAGGTAAGTCCACTCGTGATCCGCCGTATCCTAACCCTGCAGAAACTAATGGGATAACCAAAGAAGCGTCATCTAGTGACTCGGCTGAGAAGGAGGTTTAGCCAGAAAAGACAGTACCGCAGGAGTACTGCGACACACGGTTGCTGCCGTTCCCTCAACGGAGTAGGAAACCGTCAGCGGACGAGCAATTCGCTCGTTTTGTTGAAGTAATCCAGAAGATCCACATCAACGTGCCATTGTTAGACGCCATGCAAGAGCCAACATACGCCCGTTATCTCAAGGACATACTCAACAGCAAGAGACCGCTCCCAACAACGGAGGTGGTCAAGCTGACGGAACAATGCAGCAACGTAATACTCCACAAGCTCCCGGAGAAGAAGAAAGATGCGGGGTGTCCTATGATCACCTGCTTGATAGGGGCACAACAGTTCGACCAGGCCTTGTGCGACCTTGGAGCCAGTGTCAGCGTCATGCCAAAAGACGTCTTCGACAAGCTCAACTTCACGGTGTTGTTACCAACAACAATGCGCCTTCAACTGGCTGATTCGTTAGTCCGTTACCCGGCAGGGATAGCGGAGGATGTGTCAGTTAAGACACGGGATTTCTTTATCCCGGTTGACTTCGCGGTGCTGGACATGGACACAGGAAAAGAGACGCCGCTCATCCTGGGGCGCCCGTTCCTTAGCACCATGGGAGCCAACATTGATGTGGGAACGGGGAGTATCCGTTTCCACATCAACGACAAGGAAGAGAAGTTTGAGTTTCAACCGAGGACGGAACAATGCTCCATGGTCAAAATAAAGTACGGGCCAAACCCACAGAATATTCAAGAGGTCGAAGTGGAGCCACCCAAAATGGACAGCCTGGTGAAATTCATGCAGAATTTCCTGGAGAAGGAAACAATGATGCCCAGGAACTGTTATTAGAAGACATTGGTAAAACAACCCATACCAGCCAAGAAGCTAGAGCAGCCAGCTCAGAAGAAGCCGCTGTCCGCACCAAAACCAAAGAAGGTGTGGAGGGAGAAGCCAAAGACGCCCGCTCCATCATCTCCGGAGACGGGTAGAAAATCCGCAAACTGAACTAGATGGAGGTACAGTCTTGCACGTCGGATTTTAAATGACGCGACCTTCGCCAATAGGTAAATTGGTATGTATCCGTATATTTGCTTTCAACAATTTGAATTTTTGCATCATCACATGTTTGAATTTCAAAATTGCATTTAGGTTTTTTTTTAATTCTGAGGAAATTCTTTAAATAAAATTTTTAGAGCAAACCAAAATAAAATTTTCAGTGAAAATCCGATGTGCCATGACCACACTGACCGTTGGAACCCAACGGCCGAAAGTGGGGCCGGTTGGGCCCACCGTGGGTTCGGCCGAACCCACTGGTTCGGTTGAACTGGCCAGGCCAACGGTCGGCTGCCTCCTTCTTTGAGGCAACGGCTAGTGGGCCCCATAGGTCGGTTTTGACCGTTGTGGGTGCACTACTTAAGCCAACCGGCCGAGAGAGGGAATTCCACCCCATTTCAACACATTTTCATTCCCTCTCCAAAGTTTGCTCTCAAGTTCATTCAAGCTTTGATAGTTTCCCTCAAATTCAAACAATTAGTTGCATATATACAAGTTGCTTTGGTGAAACTAACCGGCGGGTGAAATTCTTGTCATTCCTAACCTCCGTCGAGTTAGTCCGTTCTTGCTCCATTGTGCAAAATGAGGAGGCGACTGTCTCGTCTGTTCAAGAGGTCCGGCTCTTCATCAAGTTGTCATGACGAGTCTAGTACTCGTTCATCAGCAGATGTCTTGATGGAAGACGCCGAAGCTCCGCGACGACTCCTGAACGACACCGACCTTGACCTTGTCAGTGATCGGGAGAGACAAGCCTACTACATGCTGAG